AGCCAAAATGGTATCTGGAACCAAACATGTATTGCATTCAGGGTGTTTCTTGCGGCACTCACCCATGGATCATGACACCTCACTGCAACCACTGAGCACATGGCAAATACAACTTTTCACTGTACATGCTGCCATGCCCAGTGGTGCCAGTGGATGCTGCCTGAAACATCCTGGCTCAAATTTGATGCTAATGTTAGGAAGTGCAGTGTTTTTACTGTATGTACAAATCTTCCACTCTTACAGAAAGTGTTTAATTACAGAAAATAAAGACTTTCAATATTTTCTGTCATTCCTCAGCATGTATCAAAATTAGTGTATTTTGTTTGAATATTTCATTTTAAAAATTGCCGTTATTAGTTGCTTGAGTTTTATAAAAAAAAAATTGTTCAATGAATTTTGTTTTAGGATTAGGACAAAATTCCAATAACTTATGAAATGGCCCTACACATAACTTCTGCCATTCTGTGCTACATATTTACATGAAATAGTACTCTCAGCATTCACAGTTATAAAAAAAAAATACCATCTCAGGGCTGAAAAGACAGCTGAGCAGTTAAGAGTGTAGACTGTACCTCTGGCCATCTCAGTTTAGCTCCTAACATACATGCCGTGCGGTGGTTCTCTAGCTCACGTCTACCTGCACCTCCAGCTCCAGAGGATCTGACACCTTAGGCCTCCATGGGCACCTGAACTCACATGCACACACCCCAGGCAACATGCAACACACAAACATGTAATTGAAAAGAAAAAAATCTGTAGTGGGTAGCCATTCCAGCTTTGACCTGGAAGTGCCACCCCCATTGAGGCTTCGGTAACTGTCACACCTACAAGGCGGGGCCAAGAGAGGACCCTGAAGACCCAAGATCTGGATGGGCCGGCTGTCTTGGTTCCTAGAGCCTGGACGCTGAAGCTAGACCAAGCAGAGTTCTCCAGAGAACACCACTGGACTGCGCTTCACTTTTCCCAGACCCTGGGACCTACCTATCCCTTCACTTGTAAGTTACCCCACAAAAATAAACCTTCCTTTTAACTACGTGGAGTGGCCTTAATATTTAAACCAATAAAAATCTTTAAAAAAATATTGACCAACTCTGAAAAAAAAAAACAAAGATGCTTTGTGTCCTACAAGATCAAATAATCAGCAGAGGTTTAATTTTTTTCCTCAAAAATTAACAAGCACATCCATCTCATTAGTGTGCAAATTTCCTCTTTAATAAACGGTAAAACTGTACACCAAATGATTGATTTAAAATAAAATTCTTTATGATTCATCATCAATACAAGTTTGATTTATATACTTACAAAAGTGAAATCTCATTCAACTGCAGACAGTTTGCTTTCAGTGTATTAACATATTTTTAAGAACATCTCAACTATTAAAATTTTACTTCCTTTTAAAGCTATTCTCAAAAAAAGTATCTATTAGGATTCACACTTGTGAATTTACTGGCTTATTAAGGGGATGATTGTAATGCTCACTCGACAAGGATTTATCTCCTCTCAGGAACTGAGGTCTGCTGAAGCAATCTACCCAAACCTCCAGCCCACAGAGAGCAACAGACAGGAGCAGCAGATGTATGTACGGTCTAAACCGGCATCCCTCATCACTCAGGGCTTTCCACCCAGGAGGACATAGAGCAAAGGAAGACATTCTTGTCGTATTCAGCTCTGAGGCATGAGGTATCAACTCAGGCTGGAGGTCATCTGTACTTTTAAAATGCCTTCAAGGACAAGACTGGCACAGGGTCGTCTCACAGGTGGCATCAATTTCCATAGTCACCATTGCCCTGGGCACTTCACGGATAACACACATCATGTGACCTCTGAGTACCAGGGTCGTAGGCACTGGTCTGCAGTGTATGAAGAGAAAGGAGGCCTCATGCAACACAGCCACAGTATTTAAGAAGCTTCTGGAAGAGTCCATATGCAGATTCATCCCTGCAGGGCGTGGCTTGGCCAGACAAGGCTGCCTTAAGAGAGTCCTGAGGGACCACTTCTCTCTTACACAGCATGCATTGGATTTTAAATGAACCAACAAACATCTAATTATTTATTTTCATGCCAAGAAGCTGGAAGTACTTAGAGCAACTGGCGCCATTCCTGACAGTCATTGGAATTTAATTGATTGGGGGAGCAGGGGGCAGTACAGTGCATGCAGTCTTACAGGCTTAAAAAAAAAAAAAAGTCTGGGGACTGTCTGGTGTGGCCTGTGTGAGAAAACAACACCCAGTCTTCAAGAGGAGCCAACCAAAGCACCTGGGATTAGGAAAGAACTCTGTGGCTAAGATCTACAGGCCACCTGCCTCTTCTACTTCCCCCCAAGGCTGTGTGCAGGAAAGGTAGACCATAAAGGCACAGGCAGAGCCAAGAGTTGCCAGGGCAATGGTAGAATCAGGTGAACACCCTCCTTGGAGAAAGACGGCTCCACTACCCAGTACTCAGCAGGTACCATCTCCTTCAATCTGAGATGGGTACTGTAAGGGAAGGTGAGAATCTCGTCCCTGTCAGGTTTGGGAAGGGTGACTGTATTAAGAGGTTTTGTCTGTGGAGATTTAGTGCTGCTGGTGGCCTGGACCAACCCAGTTGTACTGGGCACCCAAGGTGTAAAAGGTTCAGTCAGCATCACACCTGACTTTGGCAGATACCCACTGTCTAAGTGAGGGTTTCTATTGCTGTGAAGAGACACCATGACCACAGCAACTCTTATAAAGGAAAGCATTTCATTGGAGTTGGCTTATAGTTCAGAGGTTCAGTCCATTATCATCATGGAGGGACATGGTGCTGTGCAGCCAGACGTGGTGCTGGAGAAGTAGCTGAGAGTCCTACATTTTGCAGGCAACAGGAAGTGGTCTGAGGGTCACACTGAGCAAAGCTTGAGCAAAAGAGACCTCAAAGCCCTCCCCCTGCAACAAAGCCACTCCCTTTGGGGGAGTTTTCTTTCAAACCACCACACCCATGATGGTGTGTCTTCATGCTTCTCAAGTCCACACTGCTGTTAGGCTCTTTCTGAGGCAGGAGAATTTAATGGCATATGCTATTACTATTACCCCTAGCAGGACCACAATCCAGGTCAGTTTCAGGACCTCAGAGGCACAAAGAACTTCCAATGTGGGGGTAACATCCATGAACATTTTCTGAAAGAGTTGAAGAACTGGCTGAAGTAACTCAAACTACCTTCCCAGGGTCCAGGGCAGAAGGGTCATCGGGCTTACCCCCACGTGTTTCCCCACTTAAGATGTTTATAGACTCTAGTTTCAGTGAACTCAGTGAAATTTGCAGAGGTGTGGTAATTAGTTGGAAGTTCTTTGTAAAAATCTTGGGGGGTGGGGAGGGGAGTGGGAGGGAAGGGATGCAAGTCCCACATGATCCTATGTGGGAGCATGAAAAGAGGGAGAAAGACAATAGCAATCCTCTCAGCATCCAGAGCAGGGATGCTGGGGGCTGGTGGTGTAGAGGAAGCCAAGAGGCTGTTTCCTGGTCAGCCTTCTGCCTTTTCTCCCACCACGTGTAAATAGAAACGTGCTAAAGAGACCTCAAGAGTCTCTCACATGTTTAAGGAAAAACTGAAATTAATAATGAAAATGGTCTCAGCCTCAAGGTTGCCTATTTATATTACAACCAACAGAAAATGGAAGGTTTAATTCCAGCAGTTTGCAGCTTTCTGCCCAGATTGATGTCTGGCTATAGAACAAGAAGGGTTTTTGCAGCTTTGGTGTTGAACTCAGAAGGACTGATGGTGTAAATTGGCCAAGCATATCAAAGCCGAGAAAAAGGAAGCAAATGTCCAAGTCCTCTGTGCTCTGAAATCTAGTCATGGGTAATTTGCATAAAGCTTTTAAAAAGTAACATTTACCCAGGGGCCCAACCCTGATCTGACTACTTGTCTCGCTCACACAACCCTGGTGTCACCCCAGGCTGTCCACGTAAGGAGGGGAAGGCCTTGTCTAGACATCAGGAAACGTCCACTGGTTGTCACGCTTCACTATCCCGGACTTTTTAAAGATTCCAAACACCATCAGGATGTAGGCGATGAGTTTTTAATTACTACGCGTGGCATCGTCTCTTACAGATGCTCAGCGGGGCCAGGATGCGGTGCTGGAGGTCCAACAGCCAAGAGCGCCCTGGGTGGGACCGTGCGCGCCGCTGACACCTATTCCGGGTGCCTTTCGGGTGTGAGGAGGGCTCAACAGGTCATGCCCGCCGGATGTGGCTGGGTTTCCTTACTGGAGGCGCCCTGTGCGCGGTGGAGCAGTTGTCAAGGCCGGCGGCTGCCGGGGGCGAGCTCCAGGCCTCTGCTCCACCCGGGGTGCAAAGGGTTAAGGTGCGGAGGCGCGGAAGCGGCGGGCAGGCGGGCGCGGGGCACAGCACGCACCAGGCCCTCGGAGGGCAAACTCAGCCGCAGCCCCCCGCGGGTGGATCCCCGTCCCGGAGGCGGCGCGCGGGGCCGCGGGGTGCACGCGCGCCGGGGCCCGTGGGCGGCCTCCCAGCTCGCGCTCCCTCCAAGCGCGGGGCGCACGCACGAGAGAGCGGCCGCTGCCAACCCGGGAGGTTGGCGCCGGAGCGGAGGAGCCCGGCGCGCTCCCGGCGGTGGGAAGGCGCGCAGGATCGCGGCGCTCGCTCTCACAGGTGCGTGGAGGGTTCGCCTGCGCTCCCCCCCTCCGCATCCACCCTGCCGGCGCTCGCACAGGTGCGCGCGAATGTTCGCACGCGCATGCGCGCCTGAGACACCCCCCCCCCCCCGGGCCAGGCTGCGTGTCCTGGGCTCGGGTGGGCGCAGGGGTGGAGGGAGAGAGAGAGCCGCCAGCGTTGAGGTAGGGGACCGGGCGCGGCCTGCGGGACGCTGGGAGGAGGATGGAGGGACCCCGGGGATGGAAGGCAGGGGCGCTGCTCTTGGCGGGAGGTGGGGACTGGCGGGGGGCCGGGTTCCTCCAAGGTAAGCACCGGGCGGGGCGTGGGAGGGCAGCTGGCGACAGTGAGTCGCCCGCGCGGGTCCCTCCCAGGCCTGGGTCTGGCCGCTCCTTTCTGCCGCCTGCGGCGCCGGGTTCTTTCCTGGGGGGCCCGGGGACGCGGCACTAGCTCGAAATGTGGACATGGTTTGGTGTTCCTGGACCGGGGGCCTTATGCTGTCTGTCCCCATTCGCCACGCTTAGTCTGCGGGGGGGTGTGTGGGCCACGGCACAACCATACTTTTCGTTCCGGTGAGCCTCGGCTTCGTGGAGCCAGACGGCGGGTCGGGGATGCCCGGTGGCCTGCGCGGGTACGTGCCTGACAGCTCGGTGGGGAGGGGATGGAAGGAGGAAAGCGCGCTGCATTTAAATTAGGACTGTGTGGCCGCTCGCCTTCAACCAGGCGAAAGAGGCTGGCAATGGAGCCAGCGAGCCTTCCCGGAACCCTGCCAGCCCCGCTGCGCCGCTGGGACAGCCCCTCCGGGGCGGTGGGGCAGATCCTGCGGAGTTCCTCTCCGTTGGCCCGCTGCACCTGTAGCGTTAGACAGGAAGGTTTTCTCTCCAACACTATTTAGCTTTCCTAAAGAACTACTCCCCCCCCCGCCCCCCCTCCCCCGCCACCGCTAGTGTCTATTCCGGAGACAGGAAAAGCACGTCATCGTGGTGAGCACTTTTACTTCCACTCAGCCCACTCGGGAGCTTATCTTGAAGTTCCTTGGTTTCCCCGTGGGTTCCCAGCACCCCACCTCTTCCCACTGAATCACAGTTACTCAGTCTCTAATTAGTAACCCCCGTGGCTGTCAATGGCGCTCTTAAGCCTTTCATCCTGAGCGGTTCCTATTATTAGAACCCTCCCCCCTCAAGTCTTGCCAGGCAGAAAGGAGCTTTCCCGGGTACCAGAGTTGCTGGGAGAAACCAGTGTCCCGTCCCCCCCTTCCCCCCCCTCTCCGCGCTGATTCACTAGGGTGCTCCAACGCTCCCTTCTGGTATAACTCAGCTAAGGTTCCATGACAGCTTTTCAAAGTCAGCTACAACAAGAGATGGCTCATCATGTCATTAGAAAAATACAGAGGGGAAATGCTGAAAATATTTTGCTTACAGCACGTACGGTCATCTCTGGTTTAGGAGGAGGGAGAAAGCATTAAATGTGTCTCTTTCTTTACAAGCCCTCCCCCGCAATGCCATCTTGGGGGCCACTATGCCCTGAGAGGATGGAAGGGTCTAAGATCTGTGGTTTGAGATCACATCACCACTTTGTTCCTGGCTGTCGGTGGTCTCTGATGGGGTATGTTCCAGTACGGATCACAGCATGAACAAAGAGACGGGACAGCGTCTCTCTCCTTGCAGTATGCTTTCTGAGCCAAGCAGCTCCCCCTTTGCAAGCGCTCCACCGAAGCTCATATTTCAGCTGTTTCCTAAACACCAACGGCATAGATTACTGTGTAATAACAGCTTGGTGCAGATCTGGATCCACTTAGGCAGTGGCAATGATTCTCTGGACCGCCCTGCATCTCGGCTGTGGTCAGAACAGACTGTCAGCTGGGTATGGGGACTGCATGGAGCAGGGCAGGCTGCCTCCAGTGGAAACCCGCCCAGCCTCCTGTGAGTCCCCTTAATCCAGGGATGTCTGCTTTGTTCTGGAAGCCATGGGTTATTAGCTCACCGATGGCCTTGAGTTTTAGCTTTTCTCTTGAAACTCTTTCAGTTGTACACTGAGAGTGTCAGTACCAGCACTGTTTGTAGAGTATTTACAGCCAACAACTTTTTGGAATAAAATGCAAACTCCTAGGAGTTTATGTTTGGGGAACATTCTGGCTCCCGCTAGGCGTCGTATCATAATTAAATATTGCCTTGGAAACTGAAGCTGCTTCAAGTCCTGTGAGTACCGTTCAAATGGCTGAACACTCTTTCCTTCAGTAGTGTTCACAGATGTCTGCTGTATGGTATAATCCTAGGTGCCAGGTACATCATTCTGCGTAACATGACCTCATCTCCCTGCCTGTGCATCTTAGACTCGAAACAGTGAAAGGTATGAAGCATGCCCTGTCAATACTTGTGTAAAAGCTCTGAAGGGAGTGTATACATCCCGTAAACATCCATAATGAAGGCTCCTGGTGTGGCAAGGGGATTGGTATGGTGCCTCAGCAGGGACTTCATGTGCAAAGGCCCTATAGTGTAAGACAGATCACTAGGGAAGGCCAGAGAGGAGCCCTTGGGGAGCCTGTCAAGGGTCTGTCTGTAACTTCAGTTCACATACATCGATGAGGCTCAACCCTGGAGGTCCCGATGGCGTCCCATGCGGCTCAGTTTTACAGAATGGAGATCCTGAGTCAAAGGGAAATCCTGAAGTTGGCGGGTGTGGGTAAGATGTTGCGTACATAAAAGGCCTTGTAGGGATGTTTGGGGTCATTGTTTTGGTTAAGAACTCTTAGAGCCATACAGCTTTGGTGTCTGCCTTCGCTGTGTCTGGGATCTCTGAGCCACATCCATCTTCTGCTTTTGCCGGTGTGGTGGTCTGTCTACGCAGGATGTGGACATCTGCTTTTGGATGCAATGGTCGGCACCGCCATTTGGAACACCCATCTTCTGAGACCGGTCCTTCACTTGCTTCCCACCGCCATAGAACGTAGTCCTCAGTTCAAGCATCAAGACTCCTGTTTAGGTTCTCTGAGAAAACTCGATGGCTTAGACAATAGCATCCATTCATTTTTTGCCTGCCATCCTGCAGTCTCCGAGGTGGTATGTCTGCCAATCAGTGCCAGATGTGGTAGCCTGCAGGCAGGGCTTGAGTCACGGAAAGCTGCTGTTCTCTTCTGGCATGGCTAGGCAGAGGCAGCTGGACCTCTGAGTTATCTGTGTGTCAACTTGCTCCCCGGTGGATCATGGGCTGTAAGGAGCATGTCCTAAGAAAGAGTCCCGTAGAAGCTGGACCACTTTTCCTGAGGAGCCTTGAGTCACATAGTGTTGTTTTCATCACAGTCACAACCTGCTGATTGAAGAAAGAGACGGAACTCCACCACTCAGGGAACTGTGTCATCTCCTACCCCAGGGAGAGCACTGAAGAAGTCACATCTAAGAGGTGTCTTTGGAAAGCATCACTTGTCACAGTCAGACCTCCAACTGCTGCATTTAACATCGCCCCCCTCTCGCCCCATGAGATGAGGGTCAAAAAGTCTCAATATCTTACATTCTTGTGGGGTCAGGGTTTTTAAGTCATGTTACTGGGTGAAGGAGCTGCCTTGGGCCTTTCCTATCCATTGGAAGGCCTATGTACCAAAGAGGGAAGATGCTCGCCCTACACCCACAGGTACCACAATGGGCAGCACAGGGTCACTGTTGATCTTGTTAGTGTTCCACAAACAGCCATGGGATGTGAGTGTGCAGGCGTGTGTGTGGGAGACGGGTGCTGTGACAAAATAACAAGAAATTAAGGGGAAAGGGACCTGTTCTGGCTCATGATCCGATGCAGGAACCACACGGCAGGGAAGGCCCGGCAGCAGTGAGAACATGAAGAGGCAGTCAGGGAGCAGAGAGGATGGGTACGCTTCATTTTTCCTCTTTATTCAGCCCACTTTCAGGGCGGGTCTTCTCTTTAGAGGTGTCTTCTAGATGATTCCAAATCCAGTCAAATTGACAGTGAAGATTAGCCACAACCCAGCAGGCAGAGGCCCGGGTCTTGAGCTCTCAATGTGGTTTCTTCTCACATGACTGGCTCACAGTGAAGCTTGGTCCCAGTTATGGTTTGGGTATGAAGTGTCCCCTGAAAGGCTTGTGTTGGAGGCTTGGTTCCTGATGACATGTGCTTGGTCATTCGGAGGTTGACACTGCCGTGTGCAAGCTCTTGTAGCGCTTGGTTCATCGTGAGTCCGGCCCTCACATTTTGCCTTTTCTGGAGGCATCACTTACCCTCTGCTTTTGGCCAGGCCTGTGCCAGAAGCCATGTAGACGGCCAGAGCTGTGTCCGTGGACTTCCCGATCCTCAGAGACAAATAACTTTCTATGTTTTTTTTTACAAATTTCCCAGTCTCAGGTGTTCAGTTACAATCACAGAAAATGGGTTAGTACAGCAGGAAGAGCTGATGGTGCAGCGTGAGCCTGGAGGGTGAATTCTCTTTTCCTCAGACACCTCCATCTCTTTCTCTAAGCTCTGGACTGACCAGGTAAGGCCTCCTCAGAGAATGGAGGACATCTGGCTTCACTCAGTCTGCTGACTTTGTCTAAAAGGTGTTCCAGGTGACATATAGACTGGTGTTTGACCAAACATCTGGATAGCGTGGTACACCTACGTGGATGATAAAAACTAACCATTTTCTCATCTCTTGGTGAGAAGGGGGATCTGAGAGGCTGATAGGCCTGTGGCCCACAGCTATCCCAAGACAGCCAGGTACAAGCTAGCGGTACCTTGGTTCTGGCTCTCCAAATCTCTTCCTTCTCCTTGGCAATGTCTGCTCTTTGCAGCTAAGTGACTTTCTCTGCCTGTGTCCTGCCCCACAGTGCCTCCAGAGCCTAGGATGCTGTTTCATCCTGTACTGCATCTGTTCCCTTTAGCTGGAGCTGGCCACATCTCACCCCATCCAATTTCCAGTTGTCTTGAAACATCCCTAGTTTCCAGGGCTCTCTGGGGACCCAGGCTGCTGGACAGAGGCTGCATCTGCACACCCGATGCGTACAAAGTGTTTCCTTTACTCAGACTTCCACAAGGCTGCTGTGAATAAAATGCTGACAGTTCCCAAAGGTGCTGCGCTCTGCCCAAAAGGAACCACAGAGCCCCATGGTTCTCTTCCTTGACTGTTTTCCGTCGTGGAGGGGGGGGGGGGCAGTGCTCTGTGAGGTATCATCCCAGGAAACACAGAGCAGACACCTGCAGGAGACTTGCTAATATGGGAGTCTAACAGAGAAGGATAAAGCAACCAGGTCCACAAAACAAACAAAAGACTGGAGGAAAGGCAGGAGTGAGCCTTACCTGCCAGTACTTACCTCAGGGGTAACATGGGTTCAATTCCCCAAAAAGCACATTGCAGCGATTTCCCAGAGAAGAGTCAACTGATGCTGCCTGTGAGAGGCGGGCTTCACGTCTAAGGTTAAACTGCACGCAGTGAGGTGGCAGAGAGATCTACTGTGTGAAAGGAGCCTGAGGGATTGAGGGTGGCTGTGCTTGTGTCCATTGAAACAAGCTAAATCAGAACCTTGATGGTCTGACAAAGGCGCTCTGTGCTGCCGGAGCACATGCAACGATAGTAATTAGGATGTTAGAGTCTTGATTGGAGTCACTGTTGCTGTGTCGAAGCACCATGACCCAAAGCAACTTGGG